TGCCGGAGTAGATGTAGCAGTTTTTAGCACTTGCCTTGGATTTTTTGGTACGTGCGGCCGTTGTAAGCCGCTGTGATAGCGACGGTTTTTTGGAGTGGAAGGGTTTTCCCTTGAGGGGTTTTGCCCGGACGCCGGGTTTCCCCTCTATATGTTACCATGTTGGTATTTTCTGATGTATCCTGGGGCGTTCTTGCCCAATTGATGGTTAGTCACTTGCGTGAAGAACCAGGGAGGGTGTTCGTGAGCCTGCGAACATTGCTGTTGGATACATGTGCTGGATGACTTTGTGTCACGCAGACTGGCAAGATAACCGTTTGATAGGGGGCACCGCGATGATTCACGGGGCCCCTCCTTGCTGTGGGAGCCGCTCTTTGAGTACTCCCTCTTTCGTCCGTGTGAAGGACGGTCGTCTACCTCCCGTGAAGTTAATACATCACCAAAACAGTCTCACCCGATAAATAAGTGGCGTAGGCCGCAAACATTCCATTGGTTACAAGTACAGGATGAGGCGTTAGTATATTTTGAGTTGATAACATACAAGGGGGGATGTTACGGTTCGAGACATTCATTGTTCCGCAAGGCGTCCAGCCCCCCCTCCTATGTGACCCCGGTTGAGTCGTCTAGCTCGTAGAAGTGGAAGATGTGGGCCACAGAGGGGCAGACGACAGAGTGCAATGATGGGAGTACAAAAACAGAAAATCATGAAAACATACAACGCCGCTGCTGGCTTATTGATAGGAATTTTTTGGTTGCTGCGTGATCAAAAACGAGGCAGAACCGCCCGCGCGAGAGAAAGTGTACAGCCGTGGATACCGAGGCGAGCACACGAGAGCGCGCAGGAAACAACCATCTATCTCACCGACCGTTGGTGAATCAAACTAAACCCCCGAAAGTGCTCGTTTCCGCCGTCACACTTGCTTTCCGGGAGAGCTCTTCATATGCTACCAGGTTGGTTGCATAGTTGACTAATACCAGTGGGGTGGAACGCGGCTTCAACATGCTAAACATACAGACGGAACCTGACATCAGGCGCCTACAGTGCATTATCTCGAACAACCATGAACGGCGATTCCGTGCTCTTGAGAATGTCATCAGAGGTAGTAGGCCGCATTCGGCGGAGCCTCTGCAAGAGCTGTACTGGCTTCATCTATTTGCACGACGCACTTGCAAATAACAACTTGCACGAATCAAACGCCTCCAGAACCACACAACCAGAAACCCATTTATAAATTCAAAACAGCAGCGAAACACCACAGCACATGACCACCGCCGACAGGCCGCACAGCACGCGCAACGCATCAGACCACACTGCAGACATGTCCCTGAAAAGAACGGTACGTGACGACGAGCATTCAGTTGTCGCCGTAGAGGTAGAGGGCGGCGACGCGTGCACGCGATCAAGCCCAGCCGAAGAACAACGGCAGGAGGGGCAGAAGGAGCAGCAGCAGCAGCAGCAACAGGGAAAAGGAGGAGAGACCGCAGGAGGAGAAGAAGGAGACGCTCCCGATGAAACTGTGAGATCTTGTTTTAATCATGGCTCATAAAAAAAAACGTTCAGACAGCAGGATATTTGTTTTGACAGGAGGATAACATAGATAAACAAAGACGAGAGCGCCAACGTTTTTTCATCATGGTTCATCAAAATAAACGTTCAGACAGCAGGATATTTGTTGTGGCAGGAGGATGCTGCGAGGTATATACGGAGTATGACTGTACGTTGCTTGTATGGAGTTTACGTTGTCTGGGATTATGTGTGGAGATGGTACTGGTATGTGCTGGGCTGCCGTTCCTGCATGTACTGCTGCTATGCTGGTGTTGTAATTGTGGTGGTGGTTTGAGTATATTTATCTACAAGAGCATCGACGCACCTCCCTTTGACAGTGGTGATGCTTCTGCTGCTGTGCATGCATATTTCACTATCGAAGTTTGTACGAGCTTAGGTTGCTCTTGGCAACGCAAAACATATTAGATATATGACCAACCATTGCTGACCCATCCGCACGGCCCGTCCGTCCGCTACTCTGGCTGCCCCCGACATTTTGGGCTGTGTTTTCCGTCCATGCCTTCGCAGGCGATGCGCAGTTCATTTTTCTGGGGCCGGTTGCGCGGTCGTGGCGCGCGTATTTTGATGGGAAAGAATACACGGTGGACTCCCAAGTGGTGACGTCTCCCCGCACGACGGAAGCACTGGACAGCGGGTGGGAAGCGGGTAACAGCGGATGGAAATGTGCCGCTGCGCTGGGGGGCATGGAAGTATTGGACGTGCTCGTGGAGAGGTCTAACCCATGGGATGGCGAGCGGGAAGAATTCGGGGATAGGGGCGAGTGTGACAGGGGTGCGTGCGGCGAGTGGGGGGATGGAATCTTCGCAGCTGGTGCTGCGAGCGGGAACGATGAAGTTCTGAAGTTATTGATGGTTGAAGGTTGCTATAAAGACGAGATGGGAGTGAAAAAGCCGGGTATGGTCGTGCACAACGTGTAGGAGTCGTCGACGACGCCGTCGAGCTCTGGGCGACCCGGTTGTGGCCTCTCAGGCCTGGACGGATGTGGTATAAAATGTAAAGTTCATCAACCAATCAATGTCTCATTGTGTGAACATGTTTGTTTCGTGCTGATGCAGCATTCGTGAGATGGCCATCGCTTCTTTCGTGAGGTTGTTCGCCCGATCTGCCACCGCGAAAACTGGACGGTATGATAACTTTATCGGCTGGTGCAGATGTATAATAGTCCCGAGGGATCTTCCTATCCGTGACACCGCCGACTTGTGAGTGGTGCAATGAAGTGCGATACTTGTCTTGGTTACCTTGATTATGTGTGTGAAAGGTGAGTCTTTGATCCTTGTTGCGACTGAATACGTCGATGAGGAATTTGTTCACCAAAGGACCAACTTGTTGAAATCGGGGTTCCCGTACCAACAACTGTGTTACGCTTTGATTTTATTCTCAGTAGTGCTTTGCATGGCAACGTGCAGCCTGATGCCCTGCCTTTTGGGAAAAGCAATGAAAAATAGTCCATGGCATGTCGTAAGCGGAGATGGCGTTTTTCTCGCCGGTAAGGTGTCCTGGCCATTGCTACTTAGCCACGTGGAATATCCCCTTCAGCGCGTGTTTCCGCAGAAGGAGCATCAGGTGACGAATACGCCGAGGAGTTGGATATCGTTCTGGATCGAGGCCTAAAGCGACAGGCGTAGAAAAAGAAGAAACAGTTGCTTTTTCGAGTTTTAGCGAAAGAATGTTTTCTTACACATAGATGTATTGCAATGCAGACAGTACATTTCTAATGATATTGCGATCATTGTGAACTTCTAACCAACCATGCTGGTAGCTATTTTCTTAGGAGGGAAATGAAGCAGATATTATTGAAACATATGTACGATTGTTTTGTATCAATAATAAGAAAGTAAAATAGAAATTACCTGTGTTTGATTCATTTCGCACGCACCGGTTGCTCATTGCAGCTGGAAGGTGGCCAATATACGACGAAACCTATTGCATAGCCGACCGTATCGTTGTCATCATGGCTTCATCGAGTTCCCCGTAAGTTGGCTTGGTTGAGTGAGCAAATAAAGCTGCGTGAATGAAGCTGATGAATCGAGTGAAGTCAGACAGCTCAATAAAATGAGTGCTTCAGTGAAAAAGTATCGTCAAGTGAATTATGTGAGATGGGTGTGTGCAGGAGCAACTGAGTGTGCATTCTCTGTATTCCAGGGTCGACAGCCCGATGAGCGTGTAATTGAATGACGTTAGTAATAAGGAACGGAATGCCAAACACGAACAGGGGTGTTTAGCCTTCGGACTCTTCTGACCTCCTTGTAGTCCTATGTTCATGGGGACCCACGGTCCAAGTGTTCCCCACTTCTGTGTAAACCCGATGTTTGGCTGGATTCAGGAGTAGAGCATCATTTTGTGTTTTTCCCCAACGACCACTTCCATGTCCTTTAAGGGGTCTCATGAAACAGATCAGCTTCCCTTTCACTCACAGTGCACATGAAGCTTCCTCCCTTTCCGTCCCCGCCCAAGCTACCACCAACGGGTTTCAGTCGTTTTAATCTCAAAGAATGGCCCCTCAGTCTGATTCGGTCGTGCCTATCTACCCTTTCTTCCCCTCGCTGCCTTCGCAAGGTTTTGCGTAGGCATGACCCTTAGCGAAGGGGGGG